AGAACGAAGCAAAAAATGCACAGCTACGGAAAAAGCTCTAAATCCCGTTTTGATTTCATGCTTTCTGATTTTCTCCCCTTTGCCCTATCCAATAGATTGTCAGGAGATGAACACATGCACCTTCTTTGCACTCGTGGTGCTCGGGATGTAGAGGTTATGTCCATTTTATGGAGCCCTCGTTCCGTGGTGTTTGTGCGCTCCCTAACTCATTATCCTGCCACGGTGCAAACACTAAGAGGCATGTTATTTTTCAGCACAGCAATATGAAACAATAAACATCAGGGGAAACCACATCAGACGTTTACATTTATCTTCTGCCAAGCCTTAGAAAAGTTCATTCTTGTCATAATTTGCCAGAGCCTGAGGAGTTTAACACTTGCTCCTTTCTGCTCAGCTGTTTGTGCTTACCGAGGACGGTGAGGAAAGCCTTGGAAGTTTTGACAGGCATGGTGAATAAGGAGCAGGTGTACTGCCCTTCATCTGACAGGGACACATCGCTGACGCTGATGCTCAGCTCGTGCCACGACGCTCGCACCAGCTCGATTCTGTTGTCCCTCAGAGCTGAAAAACAACAACAAAAAAAAAGCCACGTCAAGGTTGGATCCGGCACGTGAACAAAGAGTGGGGTGCTGCATGAGAGGCTGGATGAAGGTTCCTAGAGAAACCAGCCCCTAGAACACAGTTGTCTATGCAGAGCTGTGGGAAATTGAAAAGGTACAAGACTCTCAGAAAGCTGTGGGAAAGCAAATCTCAGTGTGTGCGACAGATGATGGACAAAACCATCAAAGAAGCCTTTATCACTCAAGACACAGATGTAAGAAAAGAAAATACAAAGAGCTGACAGAATCTGATGCAATTATCTGCTAATCTCAAGTTACTGTATGATAGTGTAAATACGTTAAATACGTGTAAATATGTTAAGCAAGATAGCAGAATTATGTAAGCTTAATAATGAAGCTTTATCCATTGTTTTAAACCATTACAAGTAAGCATTGTTAGAAACAAGAAGTACATCTAAGTCTACTAATTAGCTAGAGCAAACTCTTGTCAGCTTTTAATATTATCTTATTGGCTAAAAAAACTTTAAAAAAACATGCAACGAAGAAGAACAGGCTGAAATTGTTTCCATCTCCTTTGCTTGGTACTGTAAAATGAGGCTAATGGCTGTGATGGAATAAAGGCTTCGAGACATCTGCTCTGGCAGACCCATCCCCTAGTTTGTATATATAGATATATGTATGTAAATATAAGAGAAAAAATATCCCAGAACCAACACAGAGCAGTTTTTTCTCTCTGTGGAATAAAGTAGGAGAGTTGAGCAAGTTTTTGCACGGTGTACTGAGTGATTTATAACATATATAAACCTAGAAACTACAGGACTTGAGTTACCACTGGTCTTCCTCTAAAAACACCAACAATGACTTTGATTTCTGCCCCCTCACAGCTTTCTTCAGTGCCTAAATTAAATCCTTCCCCAAAGCGGCCTGTTTTTCACATATTTATAGATGTTGAGAATCCTGAATCTAGCCCTGCATAGTTTGCCTACAGATTTTTCTCATGTCCATTACTATTAATATTCAACTGGAATATCAGATTTCTCAAATTCTGTAAATAACTATTTCTTATTACTAATAGACTGAAAGTTCCACTTATACATGCATATGTAGTACATTTAACAATTTGAGGTAATTGAGTAGAGTGGCTTTCCTTTTTTGATTATGAATAAAAATACAATCTCTTCTGTTTGCATGAAGGCAATGAGGGATAAGGAGCATGTGGATTCACTTAAATTCAAAATGTCAATTTAGTTAATGCTTTAAAATTTCAAGTATTTTATAACCCATACTTAGATTAACCCCCATTTTCTATTGAAAAACTGGATAAACATTTCTATTTTTCTTCAGTAAAGTTGTTTCAGGAATCTGCATATATTATCCAAGTCTTTCCACAGCATAGAAATACTAATATCATAAGTGAGCAAACACTGTAATTCTCCCAAGCAAACAATAAATAAGCCTCTAACTCAGGAAGTTTAGCTGTATACCTCTGGATCAAAATGTCTGGCCTGATAGTGTGTGAAACTTTAGTGAGTCTATTTTTACAGTAAGTCTTTGAAAGTCAAAAGTAAAATGGGACTGTGATATTTATCAAGACAGTTACACTTGCATTTGTGAGAAGAGCAAAGGTGTTCAAGTCCCTAATGCTGCTCTCTCTCACCTCTTTCTAAAGTCTCCAAAGACTCTTAGATTTGTCTAGTTTATCTCTTCCAAAGACAAAAATAAATAAGAAGTTTCACTGTGATTCTTTTGCTACTAAAGCGAGATGTTTCTGCCCAATTGCAGTCCAAGTCGGTCCAGGCAGATTTACACCAAAATACAAAGATAGAGCAATGATTCAGCAAAAAAATCACTTGAATTTGTCTTCTTCTAAGGCTGCCATTTAGTTTTGCTCTCACCAGAAAATTCCAGCTGATTCTTTCAGGGTAGGACAGCTAAAGCTCAGCTTCTTCTGCAGGGTCTGAGGACTAAAAGGTGGCAGCTTAAGCAGGCCTAACACAGGCATGCCACAAACTTCTTCAAGGCACATCAAAGGGACTGAGGTTGTGTGCAATGGACACATGCCAAGCAGAACTGTCATCTGGCAGCCACAACAACAAAAAAACCCCACAATTATTTAGTTTATAATATCCAACCCATGTAATGATGAAAACAGGAGCAACCTTAAAGCAAACAAGCAAGGGAACCAGAAGCTGACAGAATAGCTGAGAAAAACAAGCTCAGGAAAACAAAATCACACAAAGTAAGTGTCTACCAACCCCAAAGAGCAGCAAAGCTGATCACTGTGGCTTTAGCAGCCAAAACTCCTCACAACAGTGAAGCTGTTGCTATCTATCTTTGAGCAAGTAGATGGAGACTCAGAATTCCTTTCTCAGCTTGTCAATTTTAGTCAGATGCAAATGAGCAGACATAAGAATGGTAGTTTATACTTCATAGTACTGACTTCCCAAAAAAAAAAAAAAAAAAGAATTGAAGAATTTTTCAAGTTCTTCCAAATGATTTGATCCACCACACCCGTTTATATAATTTGGCAACAGCAGAAAAAAATAGAAAAACAAAACAAACAAGCAAACAAAGCAAAACCAAAAAGCCTCTCAGCTCTTGTAATTTGAAAGTGGTGATTTTTTTCCTCCCCTTAACTGAAATTAATTAAAAAATAATGTACTATATCATCTTACATAGTAGTTTACTTTGTTTTAATTTTCAGTTGTTGCTGCCTGTGATAAAGATTTATGTATCTGTTGAAATATTTTTCTACAGATGGCACAATGTGTAGAATTTCATGCCTTAAGAAGAACGGTAATGAATTCCACTACAGCACAACTGGCCTATAGATAATGCCAACAGAACATAATTTTGATCCTACAATTGAAACACAAACTGTTTCCATCAGCTACATTCCTACTGCTCCCCTCCACACCTTTTTTTAACCTTTGTGAGATATAAAAACCTCAGTTCAGTCAATTTTGTGGAAAGTTGGTAAAAACAACTGCTGGTCAAGAGATGAGATCAGATGTTCCATGTTTCATTATGGAGTGGATTTTTATTGAAAGAACTGCAAGAAAGTTTTGTAATGGAAATACCAACACAGCCTTTGCAATAAATGCTGCAAATAGCACCAACATAATACTCCTTTGCACAAAAGCTGTTTGTCAGAAGCATTTTTGTAAGTACTGGGTCTAAAAACAATTATCTCTTCCATTATTTTCAAATCTGAATATTTGTAAGTTGCCTGTCTACACAATGACAGGCAAAACAAATTTTACTGCTATGGCTTAGACAAGGTGAGCACTTACACAGAGACTTTTTATAATCTTATTTTCAAATTGTATTCCTTTAACTGTTTCTATATCCTCATCTGTTTAGAAATACACCAGTTTCTCTTCATGAAATTGATAGCTGTGATGGATGCCAGAACTGGTTTGTTTCCATTTTCTGTCTTAGGTACATTTAGCTTAAAAGGGTGATGGAAACAACAGCAACAGTGGAGAAACCAGGGGCAATTCTAGCAACTCATGATATCCAGGCATTGTGAGTAAGTGGAGCAGGGTCTTGCTCAAGACAGAAAATCTTGCCAAGCGTGGCTGATGGAGCAAAGCAGCCCATGGAGCCAGGACAGAAGGCAGCTACTGAAAAGCACCAAGTGGCAAGCAGCTCCACTATAGTAGTTCAAATAAAGTTACACAAAGTAAAATACAGAATGTTCCATCACATTTAATTAGCACTTGAACACAAAAAAGTAGAACATTGCTCTTTCAGACCCTTCTTTACAAACTCTGTTTTTAACATTTCACTTTGTTGGAAGCCAAACAGACCTTTCTGGCCTCTTCCTGGAGATTTTAACATACATTGCTGAATCATTACCCTATCCATAGTTTGCATACCTATAGAGATACTAGAAAAAGGGTAAATAAACAGAATATTTATTTGACTTCTGGGAAATACACATATGCCAAAAGCAGTAACAGAGAATGCCAGCACTGGCATCACTTTGCTGGATTCTCATGTTGCAAGCCGTTTGAAAATAACAAAATGCAACAAGAAATATAATTACATAGTAAATTCCAATATGCCCTAGGTACATTATTTCAGTTTTCTGTAATTCCCAGGCACATATGATGTAGTTAATTTGCAAGGCATGAAATAATTATGCATAAAACACTTGTTCCTAAGCAGACACACTTCATTTATTTTACCTGTCATTCTCTTTTCCTGTGGAAAAGATTTCCTTTCAGAATGTTCTCTGACACAGAAACAAGCAACTCTGATAATTTTTATAGTTGAGGTAATTACGAGTAAGAGATACAGCCATGTATTTCAACTGCATTAATTAGTAATTATTGAGACTGATGACCATTACATTAAACTTGCCTCCTTGTTCACAATCAAAAAAAGCTGTACTTTACTTTTTGAAAAAGATAATAATATAACGATTATATGTTATCACAGAGAAATCCTGCAACAGGAATTATAATGGAGAGAAAAAAGTACCCTAGAAATTTGCCAAAATGGAAAAAAAAAATCTCTATTTCATACTGTGAAGAAAAGGCAGTTGGACTTGTTATACATAGCAGCCACACAGCAGCATCTCTAATGTAATTTCATCCAAAATGACCACATCTTTGTAGTATTTTGAGACAGATATTTGAAGAATGGGGGAGAAAAAACAAACAACAAAATCCCCAATTTCTCTAGAGAAATTTGCTGATATTTTGAGAATACTAACTTGACATATGCTGCCATCCTGGGATTCACTCAACAAAATGTTCTTCCTTATGTTGGAGCTCTTCACTCTCTCATGGGAATAACATAACCATTAGTTGGAACCAGAAGGATTTCTGATACTCTACAGGTCACGCTAAACTTCCTGAATTCTATTACTTATGAAACTGAAACAATCCCTCTGATTTTCATAATCTGAAATAGATCTAAAGGGATTTATGTTGTGGTTTTGGATATACTTGAGAAGCCCCTTTTTCTTTGCTTCTAATGAATTCCACATAC